CGTTCACGAAGCAGAAAAAGCATTTATTATAAATGAGTGATTCGTCCTGACAAGTCCATGGTTACATCGTTGAAAACATCAACCATGATAGACCAATCAGGATTGAAAGACAGCTAACGCTTTCGCAATAAGCACACGTTGTCTCTGGCTTGTGATTCGTCAGATTATGTCATGAATGAAATAGTCGTAGGTGATATCCCGAGACCATGACAAATAGCCGACTATTATTTTTCTCATAATTCCATCGAGAGTACCTTGCATTTTGACAATTTGATGAGACCATATGAACATTAATAATCTGAATAATTCCCCTTAGAGGGGCTTTAGAAACATCAGCAGGAAGGCAGGAGTACAACGATCATCCTGTATCACGCATCCCAGATTGCTCTCCAACCTCTCAATGATTCCTACATACACCAGCATATTTCCGAACACTCAATATATGCCGCAGTGACAAATAACGTCACAGAAGATTCTGGAATGTTCTGGAAACAATCGATGGAACAATCATAGAGATAGGTTTTGTTCTAAGAAGCTTCTAGAACAAAAAGAAGGAGACGGAAGATCATTCGAGAACGTTCTCGAACCAAAGCCTGCCATGTGTTCTCATATATAAGACGGCTGAACAACTGAGTCAGTCAGTCGAGCAGCGAGTGTCACAGAGTCAGTTATATACCGCGTAATATAAATCGTTTTACATAAATAGTAGTTATAAGTTCAATATAAATTAGTGTTTCTTTAGTTAAAATAAATCAGTTCGAAAATAAATAGTGTCGTGTTCGCTTCTGCACCCGAATAACGTAACAATATGAAAATTAATAATCTGAATAACTCCCGAAAGTTTTAGCTTGAACACAATTAAATTTTACACCCAATTGTACTCCTGGTAAAACTCGATACCATTTACGGAGTATTTTGATTTGAAAATGATGAAGACATAACTGTTGCTGGTATAAAGCTAGGTATTAAAGTATCATGAAAAACTATTATCTATTTATTGAAAATCGAAAACAACTATATAATTTCAATGCTGAACATCATGAATCACAAGAATAACATTGGATGTTCAAGTTCACATGAAATTTGGTTTGAAAAATCTAACCTCAAAGTTATGGTCAAATTTACTCGGTACTTACCATGTTACTAGCGCCCTTTATGAGAGTGAGATATGAAAACAAATTCATGCGATGTGTCAGTTTTCGAAACATTTGCATACAAAATTTCATTTCAATGTTGCCAGTAGTTTCGACCAGTTTTGACATAATCGTAAAAAATGTGTAAAAAAAATATATTTTTCAACACTTTGTATCTTGAAAACGGATGCCGTTATGACATTTTTTTACTGAAAAAAAAAACAACTCATTTCGCAGTGTACTACTTACTCTAGCAAAGTGTTCACCTTTTTCTGAAACACCCTGTATAGAAATGATTCTAATATTGTATAAATCCACCCCTTTCCTAAGCTAACTTTTGTGATTTGGATATAAACCTGAGATTATCTTTGAATCTTTGTTTCAGTTATTTTCAATAATAATATTTGGCTGCATATCCTCACAAGGTTGGAGAATGGATATGAAGAGTAAAAAGCAAGTTTGTCTTTATAATGAAGATGCCAATGCTTGCAACTATGGGGTTGGAATAAGTGTCATTGCATTCCTTGCTAGCATGGCCTTTTTGGCAGGAGAATATTTGTTTGAGCAAATGTCATCTGTCAAAACTAGGAAGCATTTTGTTTTGGCTGACTTGGGATTTTCAGGTAAATATTTAACGAATTCTCCAAAAAACTTGTTGCCATCATAAGGAAAACCTAAAAACTGATCAGCTGACTCTTCAGTATCTTTCAGTATATTCCTCAGAAATTACCATATAGACTCTTAAGGGAATTTATTAACAGTATACATTTATGTGAACCCTATTTGTTTACAGGTTTTTGGGCATTCTTGTATTTCGTGGGCTTCTGTTATCTGACTAACCAGTGGAGCAATTCAGATACTCCTACAAATGGTATTGGTGTTAGCAACGTACAGGCTGCTATTGCATTCTCGTTCTTCTCCATATTCACTTGGGTAAGTGGTATTCTATCACCGCCGTCCGAATCGCACTTAAATCGCTTTGAGTGTGCTATGATTGGTCAACGCTTAGAACGCTTGTGAATAGGGGGCTCTTTTATTCACCGGTGGCTCCATGAATCCACCAACTTTGTTCATATATTCTTTGGTGGATTACATTTTGACATAACCATGCACGCGTTCATTTATTACTGTTGTATCAACCAAAATTGCATGCTATTCCACCGATGTACAGGGTGGCCAACTAAGAATCCAGAGTTCGATACCTCTGTTGTCTTGAGAGATACAAAAAAAAGTTTCGCATTCAAATCAAAGTGATAATCGAGCTTCACATTTCAGAATTTCTTTGAAATACACAGGGTGTTCCGTAAGGTCACAGTAAATCAAAGCTATGTTTTTTTCATCAGAACACCCTATATTTTATTTCATTTCTGAATTCTCCCTGAAGATCTGATTTTAACGACCCATCATACTTAGGGTCTAGCAGTGAAAGTTACTGACATATAGGGTGTGCAAAATCGAGATTTTCCAAGTTCAGGATTTTTTTCTGTCGAAACTGTTTATTATTCGTCAAAACGGTTTACATGTCCCTATCTCAACTTTTCACTCACTATCAATTGGTGTTCGATTGACATTTAATTAAAACAAATTATAAATTTAGATTTTTTGACCACCTTGTATCAATTTCAATTGAATACCAATTGATAGTGAGTGAAAAGTTGAGATAGGGAAATTTAAAGCGCTTTGACGAATAATGAACAGTTTCGACAGAAAAAAATCCTGAACTTGAAAAATCTCGATTTTGCACACCCTATATGTCAGTAACTTTCACTGCTAGACCCTAAGTATGATGGTTGTTTATATGAAACGAACATGAATTTGATATGCTTTTACCTCATGGAACACCCTGTATACTCCAAAATAATTTTGAAATGTGCAGCTCGGTTATTTCTTCAATTTTGATAAATTATTTTTTTTGTATCTCTCAAGACAACAGAGAAATCGAACTCTGGAGTCTTAATTGGCCACCCTGTACACTGCTGCCCAAATAAATCGTAACGACTTGATTTATTTTGGTATATTTTGTTCAAGCCCACGAACTATTCATCGGTTAGACACAATGTAGATGAACTGATTCAAGTGTTTTGGGTGCGTTCAATTAGCAAGAACTTGAGCAGTATTGGTTTCAAGATTACCAATCCTTTTTGATATTAATTATGATGGAAATGGAAAAGGCTATTTCTGAAATTTTATTTGGCATTTGATGTTTCTATGTGAATGTGAGATACTCAAATATTGTCTCAACGTTACGCAAAATGAATGATCTCGAAGTTGAAATTTGTTTTTAAACATATTTTGATCCGCGGCAACGCAACCAGCGTGAAAGCAGCCACGTCTTCCAGCCACGACTCCGCTGAAATTTTACGGCGCGCTACAAAACACCAACGGTAGTCAAATATTAAAAACGTGGCTGGCCAGCCACAAAATATCTAAAGCCGTTCGAATTTACTGGACACAGATTTTTTCTATCACATACAGTGTGTATGAATAAGATTGAATAAAAACACACAATATTTTGCTTGGCATGAATTTTCTCATATTATTCCACCTCTCAGACTTACGAAAAAAACGATAAATTCCAAACTTCGAAAAATCATGACTCTCTTAAGGGAAGATATATCATTGATTTTCGTTCGAGAATATACAGTGTGTATGATGGTTAATGAGATTTATATCATGCAATATTCAGCCGGACAACATTTTTCCCGAAATCGACTACTCAAACTCGCAAAGAAATCGATAAATCTGAAATTTTGAAAAATCATAGCTCTCTTAACAGACGATATATCATTGATTTTTCTTCGAGTATATACAGTGTGTATGATGGTGAATAAGATCTATATCATGCAATATTTTGCCGGCCAAGATTTTTCCCGAAATCGACTACTCAAATTCGCGAAGAAACCGATAAATCTGAAACTTTGAAAAATCATAGCTCTCTTAATAGACGATATATCATTGATTTTTCTTAGAGAATATACAGTGTGTATGATGATGAATAAGATCTATATCATGCAATATTTTGCCGGCCAAGATTTTTCCTGAAATCGACTACTCAAACTCGCGAAGAAATCAATGAATCTGAAACTTTGAAAAATCATAGCTCTCTTAATAGACGATATATCATTGATTTTTCTTCGAGGATATACAGTGTGTATGATGGTGAATAAGATCTATATCATGTAATATTTTGCCGGCCAAGATTTTTCCCGAAATCGACTACTCAAATTCGCGAAGAAACCGATAAATCTGAAACTTTGAAAAATCATAGCTCTCTTAATAGACAATATATATTTGTTTTTTCTTCAAGTATATACAGTGTGTATGATGGTGAATAAGATCTATATCATGTAATATTTTGCCGGCCAAGATTTTTCCCAAAATCGACTACTCAAACTCGCGATGAAATCGATAAAACTGAAACTTTGAAAAATCATAGCTCCCCTAATAGACCATGTATCATTGATTTTTCTTCGAGGATATACAGTGTGTATGATGGTGAATGAGATCTATATCATGCAATATTTTGCCGGCCAAGATTTTTCCCGAAATCGACTACTCAAACTCGCGAAGAAATCGATGAATCTGAAACTATGAAAAATCATAGCTCTCTTAATAGACGATATATCATTGATTTTTCTTCGAGGATATACAGTGTGTATGATGGTGAATGAGATCTATATCATGCGATATTCTGCCGGGCAAGATTTTTCCCAAAATCGACTATTCAAACTCGCGATGAAATCGATAAATCTGAAACTTTGAAAAATCATAGCTCTCTTAATAGACCATATATCATTGATTTTTCTTCGAGAATATACAGTGTGTATGATGATGAATGAGATCTATATCATGCAATATTTTGCCGGACCAGATTTTTCCCGAAATCGACTACTCAAACTCGCGAAAAAATTGATAAATCTGAAACTTTGGAAAATCATAGCTCTCTTAATAGACGATATATCATTGATTTTTCTTCGAGGATATACAGTGTGTATGATGGTGAATGAGAACTATATCATGCAATATTTTGCCGGCCAAGATTTTTCCCGAAATCGACTACTCAAACTCGCGAAGAAATTGATAAATCTGAAACTTTGAAAAATCATAGCTCTCGTAATACACCATGTATCATTGATTTTTCTTCGAGGATATACAGTGTGTATGATGATGAATAAGATCTATATCATGCAATATTTTGCTGGCCAAGATTTTTCCCGAAATCGACTACTCAAACTCGCGAAGAAATTGATAAATCTGAAACTTTGAAAAATCATAGCTCTCGTAATACACCATGTATCATTGATTTTTCTTCGAGGATATACAGTGTGTATGATGATGAATATGATATATATCATGTAATATTTTGCCGGCCAAGATTTTTCCCAAAATCGACTACTCAAACTCGCGAAGAAATCGATGAATCTGAAACTTTGAAAAATCATAGCTCTCTTAATAGACGATATATCATTGAATTTTCTTCGAGGATATACAGTGTGTATGATGGTGAATGAGATCTATATCATGCAATATTTTGCCGGCCAAGATTTTTCCCAAAATTGACTACTCAAACTCGCGATGAAATCGATAAATCTGAAACTTTGAAAAATCATAGCTCTCGTAATACACCATGTATCATTGATTTTTCTTCGAGGATATTCAGTGTGTATGATGGTGAATTAGATCTATATCATGTAATATTTTGCCGGCCAAGATTTTTCCCAAAATCGACTACTCAAACTCGCGAAGAAATCGATGAATCTGAAACTTTGAAAAATCATAGCTCTCTTAATAGACGATATATCATTGATTTTTCTTCGAGGATATTCAGTGTGTATGATGGTGAATTAGATCTATATCATGTAATATTTTGCCGGCCAAGATTTTTCCCAAAATTGACTACTCAAACTCGCGATGAAATCGATAAATCTGAAACTTTGAAAAATCATAGCTCTCGTAATACACCATGTATCATTGATTTTTCTTCGAGGATATTCAGTGTGTATGATGGTGAATCAGATCTATATCATGTAATATTTTGCCGGCCAAGATTTTTCCCAAAATCGACTACTCAAACTCGCGAAGAAATCGATGAATCTGAAACTTTGAAAAATCATAGCTCTCTTAATAGACGATATATCATTGATTTTTCTTCGAGGATATACAGTGTGTATGATGGTGAATGAGATCTATATCATGTAATATTTTGCCGGCCAAGATTTTTCCCAAAATCGACTACTCAAACTCGCGATGAAATCGATAAATCTGAAACTTTGAAAAATCATAGCTCTCTTAATAGACGATATATCATTGAATTTTCTTCGAGGATATACAGTGTGTATGATGGTGAATGAGATCTATATCATGCAATATTTTGCCGGCCAAGATTTTTCCCGAAATCGACTACTCAAACTCGCGATGAAATCGATAAATCTGAAACTTTGAAAAATCATAGCTCTCTTAATAGACGATATATCATTGATTTTTCTTAGAGAATATATAGTGTGTATGATGATGAATAAGATCTATATCATGTAATATTTTGCCGGCCAAGATTTTTCCCAAAATTGACTACTCAAACTCGCGATGAAATCGATAAATCTGAAACTTTGAAAAATCATAGCTCTCTTAATAGACCATATATCATTGATTTTTTTTCAAGGATATACAGTTCGTATGATGGTGAATGAGATCTATATCATGCAATATTTTGCCGGCCAAGATTTTTCCCGAAATCGACTACTCAAACTCACGAAGAAATCGATGAATCTGAAACTTTGAAAAATCATAGCTCTCTTAATAGACGATATATCATTGATTTTTCTTCGAGGATATACAGTGTGTATGATGGTGAATAAGATCTATATCATGTAATATTTTGCCGGCCAAGATTTTTCCCAAAATCGACTACTCAAACTCGCGATGAAATCGATAAA